GTCGATCAGGTTCATCCATTCTGGCGGACGCTCGTTATCGGAGAGCATGCTGTTCCGCATACGGTTCACCGTGAACAGGAGGAGTTGGAGCAGTTTCAGTTGATGTTTGACCAAGTGTCCTCCAGTCACCCTTCGATCATTCGTAGTGCTACACACATACTTCATGACATGTTCAATACATCGTGTTTGGATACCGAGGAACCGGAAGGGGTCGAGCGACCTAGGGGTCGACAACCACGGCGGAACAAGAGTGCGTTTGAGTACATTCGCGGTCGTGGCCGTGGCCGTGGCTGTGGTCGTACATCCTCATCAAGTGGCAGCCAATCATCGTCGTCGGTGAATATGCCCGGCACCGGTAAGACATTCGACTTCAATTTCTTTTGTTGACTGTTTGATTAGTTTACTGTTGACTTGTTTATTGTGTTTATTGATGTGTGTAACAGGGAGAATGGACATTGAACATTTTCCATATAAGGACAGGATCCCTAATATCATGATGCCATTCTTGGACGGGTGGAATGATGTCATTGCAGATGGTAACTGCGGATTTCGGGTTGTGGCGGATGTGTTTCAAATGGGTGAAGACAACTACGGTTTAGTGTGGCAGTTGATGTACAGTGAAATCGCATCAAACCGAGATGTGTATGGCCATGTGTACGGCGAGGACTTGGATAGGTCTCTGCAGCGTATCCGGTGGGGAGGGGGACCTTGCGGTCAAAATCATTGGTTCGATGCGCCACTTGATCTCTTTGCCGTTGCAAACATCTACAAGTGTGCAGTCATGCATTTCGGCCTTGGTTTACATAGTCGAGCCTATTATCCATGTACAACGGTTCTGCCCTGGTGTTCGCGCGAGACCGTCACCAGACCGGTAAGGGACGTTGCTATTGGATTTCTTGGGCCGTCATACAGACATTTTATCCGATTAGACATGTCACCCGATTTTCCGGTCCCACATATCATACCGAAGTGGTATGAAATTCGTAGAGCAAGCGTGGAGGGTTGGGATGCTTTGTACCATGCTCGCGTGCAACAGTGGAACAATTTAATTGCCATGTAGTTTTTGTTGATGTACACCTACCTTTTACTATGAGGCCTTGTATTGTCAATACTATGTCATTTCTATGTGTTCATTTTTAAAAGATAATGTTTCATTTTAAAAACTAACAACAATAATTTCACAATATTACAAACTAAAAAGATAATATTGAATTTTAAAAACTAAGAACAATAATTTCAAATATTACAAACTAAAAAGATAATGTCTAATTTCAAATATCAGTAATCCCTCTGTGACGCCCACTGCCACTGCTCAAGGGTCCGTTCCAGATCGTCAATAACAGCTCTGCCTGATGCACTCGTCATGCAGTCCCTTTCCTCAAAAAGTCGGTGTCCCAACTGCATAATCTTGCCCATCCACTACACAAAACAAAAAACATGAAACGACGTATTATACATATATATATTAAAATAAGAGAACAACAAATAAAAGATGAGACGTACCGCATAAGAGGCAGTGGCAGGTGGCACATCGTCATCATCTGCGTCGTCGATGTCTTTGATCAACCTCGGGTGCGAGTGCCGGATGTACCATTCCATGTAGTGCTGGTCACACATGGCAGTCACCCCACTTGGCGGCCGCTGCAGCTCCGCCGTCCATAGGCGGGCAACCATCGGAAACTGCTCCCACATGGATATCATGTTTGCCGGCCATTGGACGACGTACTCCTTCGACGACGCAGATCGTACCGCCTTACTGGGCCATGCCGGTGGAGGTGGGACAACTTGGACAAATCCAAGCTGGCGAAGACAGCGCTGCGGCATGTACGCCTCTACGATCTCGCGATACTGAATCAGTCCGGTGTAGAGGGTCCTGGGTACCCTATTACTAGGGTTCTGGCCGAAAGGCATCCAGTTCACCTGCACATTATTTAAAATCAGTAACAGTCATAAAATAAAGCATCAGATTGTAAAAGTAGAAATAATTTAATCACTGTACCTCTAAGGGGGACATCCTGTCAAGCGATAACCGTATGGAGCGCATGCGGTCAACGGACTTCTTCTCGACACGCGGACTCCACGCACAGGCACGTGGCTGGCCATCACCAATGGGAACCGGGTCGCGGTGTGGTCGAAACGCAGGAAAATACTCGTATATCCAGGTCTGTAACAACGTCAGACATCCAGTGATACCTGCTGCATCAGCCCGGCTCGAGAATCCTAACTGGCGATACAGATACGCCAGCGTAGCCGACCCCCAAGAAAACTGGCCTACTCTGTCGGGCTCACACGCGTCAACTATGTCGCGTGGCCTGAGCTTGTTCCCGCTCTTATCCGGAAACAAGGTACACCCGAGAAGAAGAAAAACATATGCAGCCAGCTGTGTGTCCTGCGTCCTACGTGCCGTAGGGTGCAAACATCGCTGCAAGACGGCTGCGATCTTAACGCCGCCGTGATCCCACACACCAAGTGCCGTTGTGTACAGCGCAGCCCTATCCACCGCCAACAGCTCCGCTAGTAAATCTGCCTGATCCGCATCAGTGACGACAGATGCTCGGTTTCCCTCCACGGGAATCCCAAGGATGGCCTCGACGTCATGCAACATGATCGTCATCTCACCGAACGGAAGGTGGAACGAGTTCGTATCCGGCTGCCATCGCTCAACGAAAGCCGTGATCAGCGTCCAGTCAATCCTGTCGTGCATGGTGGCAGGAAGGTGACTCACTCTAGTGCCCCTCAATCGCCTGACCATCTCGCTCTCCTCCGGCGAAGCATCAGCCCAGCTACACAAAAACCTACAAGTCTTTTCCCGGGTTTGGCATTTCAAAATGCCTGTATCCAAAGCCCTCTCCTGGTCCTCCCAAATACGGGTAGCGATGTGTCCTAAAAAGCTAGGAATCACACTCCCGTCTATAGGTCCCCCGGCCACCTCACCCCTCACCATCCAAGAATCATTAACGGCCCTCGACCGTTTTCTGCTACCCGCAGACACAGTGGACGCAGATGATGTGCCAGATCTACTAACAAACCTACCATCTCGACCCTTACGCACATCTACCCTATGCGTCTCATACGTATCATCAAGCCTCTGACTGAATGGACCGTAATCATCATATGGTCCACTCTGATCGTCGACATCCTCATCTGCATCATCCTCGTCCTCGACCTCCTCCTCCTCGACCTCCTCCTCCTCCTCCTCCTCATCATCATCATCATCTTGATCGTCCGCAGAACAGTGCACCCGTTCTCTGCGGGCCGAGGCCGAAATACCACGGGATCTAACGTGTCTGGGCCCCGAGCTCTCCATTGAGTAGATCGTACTCCTCACGACGTCAATACTCTTCCCCGCACCAGGTCTAAATTGCGATGCCTAACTCCAAGTAAATAACGAAACATAATAACGAAAACAAATTAAAAAAAGTCGAAAATAAACACAAAAGCAAATAAACAAGTCACGGAAATAAAATTATAAACATAAAAAATATAAATATATACAAGACAATATACATATAAACATAAGAAATATAAACATAAACATATACCAAAAACAAAAAATATAAACTACAAACAAAAAAAAAACAAACATAAACAAAAACAAAAACAAAAAATATTACCAAAAACAAAAAATATAAATACAAAAAAGGACGAAAATAAACACAAAAGCAAATTAACAAGTAACGGAAATAAAATTATAAACATAAAAAATAAAAATATAAACAACACAATATAAATAAAAACATAAAAAATATAAATATAAACATAAAAAAAATATAAATATGAACAAAACAATATACCAAAAACAAAATATATAACCAAAAACAAAAAATATAAACAACAAACTAAAAAATGAAAAACATAAACAAAAACAAAAAATCAAAAATGCAAAGAAAAAACCAAAAACAAAAAACTAACAAAACTTAAAAAATTTAAAATTGCAAAAACTTAAAAAAAGAAGAACATCAAAATTTTAAAGAAAATTTATAAAAAAAAAAGGGAACTTATAATTTTTTTACATACAAAAATATAATTCAAAAAAAAAAATACATAGGAACATAAAATTAAAAATTAAAACCAGATACAATTTTTTTTAAAAAAAAAAAATAGAACATAAAATTAAAACAAATAAAAAAACAAAATTTAAAAAAAAAAAGATAAAAAAAAAGGGAACATACAATTTAAAAAAAAGAAAAACAAATTTAAAAAAAAAAAAAAAAAAAATTCGAAAATAAAATTTAAAATTAAAAAAAAACAAAAAAAAAAATTTAAAAAAAAAAAAGAGAAGGAGGCGCCTAGGCAAGACGCCCGTACGGTGGTGGCGGCGCCTAGCCCAGACGCCATTACCACGGCCGTGGCGCCTAGCCTATGCGCCGCCGCCGTGGTAGTGGCGTCTGGGCTAGGCGCCGCCACCACCGTATGGGCGCTTGCCTAGGCGCTTCCTCCGTGGTGGTGGCGTCTCGCCTTGGCGCCCCACCGTCGCCGGAGGTTTTTTTTTTAAAAAAAAAATTACAAAAATTTAAAAAATTACAAAAATTTAAAAAAATTACCTTCTGGCCGGCAAACCGCCTTCCGCCCACCGCCGGTGCCGCCACTTCCTTGCCGGGCCGCCTCGACATAGCTCTGGAAATAATTTAGAGAGAGAAAGTGGAAGTAGAGAGTAGAGAGAGAAATTGTGTTTTTTAGTTTGAGGGCAAAAGTGTCATTTCACTCTTATTTTGTGGGCTTTATGTAGGAATTTGCGGGCGATGTTTAACAGTTCATCTTTTTTACTTCCCTCTCATTCATTCTTACATTTCCACTCTTATTTTTTATTTTTCTTGGACTTTTTTTGTATGCAACCAGACAAAGAAAAACTAATTTGCAGTTGTGTTTTTCCTTGAAAATATGTTTTCCATGAAAACTAATTTATAATTTCCGTACAACCGAATCTTATTATAAAACCGTCGCATAATAGAATTAGCCGTTCGAACACACTAGTCAAAAAAGTATTCGGAAATAAATCATAACCGGCGCGCAAAGCCCCACGACGTTAGGGTTTTTAGCTTTTGACACCTTGACTCCCCTTAATACTACTTCTAAGAGTTCTAACCACTCTACGCTTTCTCTGCCATTTTTCTCCTGTTTCATTTCACTCACTCAAAACCTCAAACTTTCTTTTCACTTTCCAAACAATCAAACATGCAAGCTTGTTCTGGAGCAGCAACTCCATCAATGGTGGGTTCAATCCACCGCACAAAAATCTCTCCTTTTCCCTCTAATTTTCCTCAAAAAGGGTTTAATAATAATCTTACTTTTACTGATAATTCTATCTATTTTTCAAAACACCTTTCTCGATTTTCTTTTGTTTCTAATAGTTTGGTTACTGGTCGACCACCCTCTTCTGTCTCTGTTCCTGCTCCTAATATTGAAGGTTTGCTCTCTTTTTACCTTTTTGTCTTCTATTTTGATGGATTAATAATTTTTACTGTTGGGCTTTCTTTTATTTTTGTAACGGGAAGGACCCTATTGAACCGGAACCTCTCACGTGTCAACCCCGCTTATTTACGTTTGGGGGTAGAGGGGTGTTTAAAAATTTATTTTTGATTCCTTTATATGGTAAGGAGAATGACCCTATTGGACCGGAACCCATCTTGGCTTAGCTAAGGGAAATTATTTTCTTATTGTTAATATTGGATTGGATTGGATTGATGGTTGATGTTCATTTTTTGAGAAATACATGCAATTTTGTATCTGGTTTTGATTTTTTGTTTGATAAAAAATTAGTAAGGCTTTAGTTCTTGTGCCAAGATATAAACCTGTACATGTATAATGAGTTGGAGTGTCATTTTGAATTTATGTATTTCCGCAAAATTATCGAGTTAATTCAATTTTTGTACTGTGTATGAAGTTATCAGAATTTTTTATGGCTGTAATTATTAATTGCTAAAAACAAGATATATCAAGCTTGAATTCATTATGTTGCTTTTGTTTCTGATGAGTCTATGTGAACTGCTGAAGAATTATGTTATGATGTTACTGAAGACGAGAGCAATCTAATGGTTCATTAATATATTTATTAGAAAAGGCTATTGATGGTTGGCAACATGAAAATATGATCATTATGAGTTAGTATAGAAACATTAAAGGCGTTTGGTTATTGGAGGCGGAATGGAATGGAAGCAAAGAGGTGGGAAATGAATTATTAAACACTTACCTTTCATTTGTTTGGTGTAATCACGGACACTTAAACTTAATCCCCTTCCTTTTTGTATGAGGGCAAGGGTAGCTGTTACCTTAGGTTATAGAGAGGTAACAAATAGGTGGAAACCATCACCTAGAGGTAATGGTAATGTTACCCAAATCTTCTAACCAAACAATTAGTAAGCATAAGTGGGAGCCGGGGAAGGCCTTCATGCCACTAGGGAATGGCTTTCTTGGTAAAAGTTTTTTACACTTATTAAACATGCTCTAAACATGACTTACGGTTGATATGCAAGGTTGTAGGAGTGTTCCTGTTTGCATTGGTGAATTTTGACCCAATATTTATGCAATTGATATCATAGAGTTCTCATCTTAGTGATTGTCAAGACTTAAAAATATGAGCATGTGATAGTGCGATACTACAGTCTACACCCCTTCTACCAATCTACCATTGCACGTGGTTTTTGTATTATTCCAAATTAGTGGAAATAGTTTACTTAGTATATTTTCAGCTTTGGCAACTTTTTTTTTTCAATAGTCCATCTTGTACTAGTGTCTCTGCATGCTTCAAAATTTTTGAATTAATATTATGTGAAATAGCTGTGTAAGATGTCCTTGATATAATGGACAGATTGTGCTAAAGCATAGTATTTTCTGGTGTATTTCAGATGATCTAACCAGCTTCAAAGATAGTGAGCTGAGCGATGCTGATCCAGAAGTGCACAGCATCATTGGAAAGGAAAAGGAAAGGCAGTTTAAAAGCCTGGAACTTATTGCCTCAGAAAACTTTACATCAAGAGCCGTCATGGAGGCTGTTGGTTCTTGTCTCACTAACAAATATTCTGAAGGATTACCGGGTAAAAGGTAAGGCTTTTTGCGTGTCTCTCTTTTGATTTTTTATCTTATGTTTTGGCCCTATGGGACTTTACACTTAAAAACTTGTTCTGCCCTAGGTATTATGGTGGCAATGAACATATTGATGAGCTCGAAACCCTCTGCCAGCAGAGGGCTTTGGAGGCATTTCACCTGGACGGGCAAAAGTGGGGTGTAAATGTTCAACCGCTGTCTGGTTCTCCTGCTAATTTTGAGGTTTATACTGCACTTTTGAATCCACATGATCGTATCATGGTAAGTTATTCTCCCATGTCTGGGATTACAAGTGATATTAAATTTTCTGTCCTTTGGTTTTGATCTTATATCAATGCATTTTTACCAAACCAGGGTCTAGATTTACCTCATGGAGGGCACTTGTCTCATGGTTTCATGACTCCTAAAAGACGAGTTTCAGGCACATCAATTTATTTTGAATCCATGCCTTATCGGCTTGATGAATCTACAGGTATTTTATTTTAAATTTTTTGATGGATATTTGTATTTGCTTTTGTGAGTTTGGTCTCTAACCATTTTTTATCCGAAGAGAAGGTCTGATTGATTACGACATGCTTGAGAAAACTGCTACTCTATTTCGACCAAAACTCATAATAGCTGGTGCCAGTGCATATCCTCGAGATTTTGATTACCCTCGTATGAGGAAGGTATGTGTTTTAATATGGCTGCTGAACACCTCCCTTCCCCTCGGGCACACTTTATTTGCCTATAATTGATTGAAATGTTCTCTTTCAAATGCAGATTGCAGATGCTGTTGGTGCTTTTCTTATGATGGACATGGCACATATAAGTGGGCTTGTTGCTGCCTCTGTGGTTGGTAACCCATTTGAGTATTGTGATGTGGTCACAACTACAACTCACAAGGTTTGTCTGGACATGACTTAATCATTCAGAATATTATTGGCAAACAAATATAGATTTAACCTCTAAATTTGATTTTCTATCTAAATTTATAATGAACTGGAATGTTATGTCTATAGATATTCTAGAAAGTTATGGCCAATGTTTGGTTGATTAGTTAAGGACCATGGTTTGCTTTTTAGGTTTACTTGCTTTGACACAGGATTGGTTTATTTTTCTCAAAACCCTTTTTACAAAATCATAGTATCTTTCATTGATGGAGTTTACGTTTTGCAAGTCAGTCTTAAGTGAAGAGGAAGAGATAGCTCCTAATAGATATAAGTCGTTTAATTCTTGTGTCTAGTATCTAAAGTTGTGAAAAGACTCATATAGATTCTGTCTTTTGGCAAGGGAAAGGAAGCGTCATAAGTTCAGCTTACAGCTTAAACTTCTTTATATTGTGAAGATGTGTTTTTAAACGATAATGCAAGGAGGGGACAATTGACTTTATATCTTAAGTACCAAAAGTTATCCTGTGTTTAAAGACTCCCCCCCCCCTCTCTCCCCCTTCCCTCGCATGAGGAAGTACGTACAACTTTTGGTTTTGGCTAGAGAAGCAGCGCGATGTTGTTATCCAATTGGCTATAAAAAATCTCTCTCAAATCATTTTGATATAGTACGATGTTTCTTACTGAGTGTAATGCTTTTCAGTCTCTACGGGGTCCTAGAGGTGGAATGATCTTCTACAAGAAGGATACCATTTTTGGAGTTGATTTAGAATCTGCCATTAATAATGCTGTCTTTCCTGGCTTACAGGTGAGGAAATGCTGGTCCTTGAATTCACCTTTCATTTTTTTGGCCCCATTGTATAGCTCCATCTTGTATATCATTGTCCTTATTTGATTTGTTTTAACAATTTGGGTGTCATGATTATTTTTTGCAGGGTGGCCCACATAATCACACCATAGGAGGACTAGCTGTTTGCCTGAAGCATGCTCAGTCTGCAGAGTTTAAGGCGTACCAAAACAATGTAAACTCCTTGTTCTTTGATCATACAACTCATAATGTTAAAATATGCCTTGATTTGTATTTAGATTTTTTCATCTATGAACAACCTAGTACAGTGTATGTTCTTTTCTTTGTACTGATATTTGAGGGCCTAATGACTTGCAGGTGGTCTCTAACTGTAGAGCTCTTGCAAGCCGATTGGTTGAATTGGGATACAAACTAGTCTCTGGTGGGAGCGACAACCATCTTGTTCTAGTGGACTTAAGGCCATTGGTAAGTTTGCCAAGTTCTTAAACCCCATTGCTAAGAGTTGTAAATCAATTCCTTGTGGTTTCTGTTTTTATTTTTAACAGTTTTACATCACTTGCATTGTCCGTCTTTGCTTAGACTTTTTGTTTAAAAAAAAAAAGTCTTCGATGGCTCCATTTTGTTTGACTGAAGTTGTACTTTCTCTTTAGGGAACTGATGGTGCCCGAGTTGAAAAGATCCTGGACTTGGCTTCTATCACACTTAATAAGAACTCTGTTCCTGGTGAGTTTTCAATTTTTTTAAAAAAAAATTATGATCTCTCTTTCTTGTGCTTCAAACATTTGTGCTAAAATCTTTGGTGTTTGTAAATAGGTGATAAAAGTGCTCTAGTGCCTGGTGGTATACGTATTGGGGCACCTGCCATGACAACCAGAGGGTTCAAAGAGAGTGAGTTTGTTGCTACAGCTGACTTTATTCATGAGGGCATCCAGTTAACTCTTGAAGCAAGCAAGTTAATTCCGAAAACAAAGCTCCAAGAATTCTTGAAGTTTGTGGCATCTCCTGACTTTCCCTTGAGAGATCGTTTATCAGACCTTCAGAAGAGAGTCGAAGTTCTAACCACCCAGTTCCCATTGCCTGGATTGTGAAGGTTTTGATGCAACTTCTTTAAGGATAGTATCTTATACCTAGATGAAATGATCCACAGTTAGAGAGAAGCATTGATGCTTGTGGTTGTATCCTATCTGGTGCTGAATAACATGAAACTCTGACAAGTATTTGTATGCGACTGTATACATATCAGCGCAGGCCACAGGGTTTATTTGTTGTATCCCTTATATCAAGAAGGGCAATTCGATAAGTTTTGCCCGTATGTGAACTTCTGTGGTGATATCTATGAACCTTAGAGCTGTAATGTGGTTACTTGAATTGGTCTTATGTAAGTGATGGTTTCACCTTGCTCATTTTGGGTTCCAAAGTCAGTAAGTATAATGGTCGTAACAACAGGTTATAAATACAACAGGTGGTACGAGAATCTGGGACTTGCTAAGCTGCTGTACCCAATTTGCAGTTTTAATCACTAGTTCATGTCTTTTTCACAAAATGATGATGATTATGAACTATAATTACTTTTTTATCTTTTGTAGACTGAGTTGTGAAACATCTGAAATCCTCAAATATGCACCCTAAGTCCATAGATCTACAATGACCGAGCTGATTTAGGAATGGAGGGAGATATTATACAAGCATGTTGATACATTATTGCCTACATAAGACCATAAGCATGTAATTATACTGCGGTGCTAAGAAGATTGTCTCTTCAAAAATTGAGTATGATTTATGACACGATTATGTTTGGATTAAATGTAATAAACATATGTAGTACAATTTAAATGCATAACAAAAACAACAAAAAACTATTTTCAAATAAACTTTGTATTCATCATGTATTCGGTCACTCTGTAGCACCATAAATGTAATTTACATCGAACATAAACTACTTTTAATTAACGGAGGGACATCCTAAACAACTAGACAAGGAAGTACTCTACCCCACAGACTCGACCCGAAAAAAATTAAATTCATATATTGACTTGTTTGGACACAATAATTTAACATGTCTCAAATTTAAATATAGACTCGATCTGCTTCTGACCCGACTTCATCAAAACCGACCCAAATATCCGAATTAACACCTCTAATACACCTATCCTATATTCCTATGTGGACAATGTGGCAATATATTAGTCTAGGTGTCGTTTGGTTCACAAGGGAATTAAAAATTCCCATGAATTGCAAATATATGGGAATTTAATTCCTATAATCAAATTCATGGGATTTTCCAAAAAATTGTTTGGTTAACAATGAGGGAAGTTACTTCCCAAGGGAATTTCTACTTATCTGGGAGGGGTTAGGTAAGTGAATTTCTACATTTTGTGGGAAATCAAAATTCCTAGGAAGATTCACTTTCCCTATATCACCAAATTTTTGCCAACCAAACAACATACAAAATTTGCAATTTCTAGGAAGTTTCAATTCCCATGTTTTATTATGTCAACCAAACAAAATTTTGATTTATTTGAAGGTTATTTTGACATTTGGCTAACTACAAGTAACAAATTAGTGTAACAAAGGAAAAATACGGAACTTGTTCAAAAGTGGTGCAACAGAACCTCATCCACAAATCTCCATTTTACTTCACTTCACACGTAACAGAAAAGCACTACTGTGAGCTTTCTCTTCTCTCTCTCCTCTTGATTACTGGATTTCTGCTTGTTTTTGTTTTCAATCTTTGATTCATTTATTGCTTATTACATATGAACTTGAATATCTCAATAAAATCGAAAAAAAACCATATGTAGCTGTTAATTCTAGTATAGAACCTAAATATTGATACCTGTGCTGAATTTGTTTGAATTTAATCGATTTACCAATTCAAATTCCAAGATTTTAGTTGATTTTCGGTTAAGAAAGTCAATTATGATATTCCATAATTTACTTGATTGAATGTTTGATGAAGTATAAATGTATAATTTGGTTCTTAGGGTTTTAAAATATAATTTGGTAATTGGAATTCAAATAATGCGATTTGAAGTTATTATTTATTTTAACATATAATGGAGAAAGCCAATTAAATTTGGGTAGATTAGATGAATATGGAATGATTATTAGTTGTTCGTTTGTTGAACAAAGAACAGAGAGGTGTCGCGGAGTCTATGAGGAGGTATGATTTTAGTTGATTGATCATGCATTTGGGTAGTTAAAATGATTAGTGAAATTTTGTTGGATTAAGTGTGTGAATTATGATATTTGGAACTTAAACTGTTATATATGTAGGATAGGCAGTAAGAAATGGGGATAGAAAGTTCCAAGGAGTGCAGAATTTAGGTTTTGGTAGTGTTTGCTCTCGAATTTTAAGAAATTGGCTATTCTCTAAGTTTGCATCGTAGTAACGATTGCATTAGTTTTTCTTAATATTAAACATGCACTTAAAAATCCCATATCAACCTAAGCTTATTGGATGACGGTAGTTCTATGGTTTAGTAATGTTCCACCGTAGTTAATGTTGCCAAGTGAAATGGTTAGATTCTAGGTATTGCTCATCTATTAAATTTGACACTGATATTTCAGCGTTTTTATTCTTTACTAGTGCTCGTAGGAGGCCCTGCTGCCACAGATGGCTGCTCGTGTTTCTCCGAATTTGGTCAGTGGTCAGAGATTCTCTCCTATTGGTAATTTCAAACACTCTTCTCAGATTCTCTACAAATCCCCTAGGCCATTTCTACTCAGACCGCGAAGACTGCCATCGATTGCGTGCCAAGCCGACCCTACTCCCTCAGATTCTGCTCCTGTAACGGTAGGTATGTCTGAATGCTATCTGTGTCGTTCAGCATTTATTAAGGTTGAACATTTGGGTATTTTCTTGGCATCAACAAACAAATATTGCAGACATGTTAGAATTAATATTAGGTATAGTTTCTATTATCTCATAGATACTGATAATGCCAAATGGATTACTGCCATAAGCTGAGGTGGTTTGTAATGCTAGCAAATAGAATGTTGCTGAATGATGTTTGGTATTTTTGGGCACTGTATAACTTAATTCTTCAAGTCCTGAAACCATCTAGTGCTAGTCATAAGTTCTATTTTGGTGAATTTTTATAGAACCTTGTCCAATTTCATAATCTTACTCTTTGAGTGTTTCTTAGTGGCTATCCAAGGTTCACTATCGATTCTTACTCATTTCACATTTACCCTTCTAATTCATTAGCCAACTGCATCTGCATGAACGATGTTCTGGTTAAGCAATGTTTTAAACCTACAGTGGAAAGTCTGAAATATTGAAGTCTTGATCAGCCAGAAAATCAAGCACTTTCTGAGTTTCTGGCTCTTGTTCTAGTTGTGATGGAAAAATTTACAACCTTTTTCACATTTGACTCTGTGGCCACTGCTAGCTTATATCTAATTGTACTATTCTTGTCAATTAAAACTTTTTCCAGGAGAAGCCACCTGCTGAAACTAATTCAGTCAATGAGGAATCAGGCCAAGTTGTGACTTCTTCCACTGATGCTAGCCTTCCTGAACTTCCAACCAAAGAAGTGAACAAGAGAATAGCTGTGTTATCCACTGCTGCAGCATTAGGGCTTTTCTTATCAGCACGTTTAGATTTTGGCGTTTCATTAAGAGACCTCACTGCCATGGCACTACCTTATGAAGAGGTTTGTCTTTTCTGTTGTGTTACTTCCTTTAGTTGTCTTTAAATTTAATAACACTTTTGTGCACTATATGTGCCGAAGTAATGGTAAATACTCCCTCCGTTTTTAAATACTTGCTCCACTTTTCTTTTTTGGCAGTTTTTAAATACTTGCTCCATTTCCTTATTTGGAAAGTATTTACAATATTTAAGTAATTTCTCTCACCAAGTGGACCCAACAATATTAATTATATATTCTCTCTCCTTCAATTCTCTCCACTACTTTTGGTTTTTTTTACAATTTTTTATTCTCCCACCAACCCCACTACCTCCATATTTTATTACTTTCTCCAATTTCTCCTAAAAGCTCCGCGCATGGAGAAATGGAGCAAGTATTTTAAAACGGAGCGAGTAGATGTAAAAGCTATGTCTTGGACCTTACTAGTCATTAGAAATATTTTTTAATATGTCTGACAACATAAGCTTGTGAAAACTCTGAAGCTTTGTTTCAACTCAAGTATCTGTGCCAAATGCTTGAGTTGGCAGGATAAATGAGTGATAGACCCTTCTGGCCATAGATAGAAATTGAATACTTATCCCTCTTAAAACCTCGAGTTTAAACACTCATAACCATGTCTCCATATCTCTTTAAGCTCAGTGTTTGTCTGGTTGTCATGAAAAAAATGGGAAGTGGAGGAATGTGGAGTTATTTGGTTGGGAAGAACATAGCAAGTTGCTTCCTAGGAACTTTCACTTCCCACAAAATAGAAGAAGCTGCTTGCCTAGGTACCAAGTGGAAGTTTAGATGGGAAACATACCTTCCCATGATTAGCCAAATAGCACCTTACACCTAGGAATGTAACTGCGTGGAACAAGCTTCCTAGGAAATATTACTTTTTATGTTCACCACCACTAAGAAGCTTTCACTTCAAGGTTTAAGCTCACTTTTTGAGGCATTGTACAGCTGAAGCAAGTATTAGATTCTGAATTATACTGGTCATTCCTTAATTTTTCTGCAGAATTTTATATGGATGATTCTAAAGAGAAAATGATGATTTTGACTAATGAAGCTTATGAACTAGAAACTTTAGCAGAAATTAATAAGCAGAAGAAGAAGATGATGATGAAATTGACATAAAAATCTAAAAATATAAGAAAGCGAGTACAAGCTATCGAGAGGCTTGTTCTCTCCCTAACCAACATTCAAGAGGTTGGAGATATTCACCATAACCCCTATCCCTAATCTTCTCTTGTTTATAAAGCAAGCTCGCTGCTAGCTTCCTCTCCAAGCCAATCCTAATGAACTTATTTTGCCGTTACCTATGTCCCTCCCCTGAAGTCAATTCATAAGTTCATTACGAGTTTTTTGTTCTTTGCCTTTTTTACATGGGCGACCTCGTGTCTTTTAAATATACTTGCTACTTGTATACTTAAAAGGCAAACAGAAAAAATAAAATCATTTTCAGTCCTAAGACTTACCCTCGTATCCAAGTCCATACATCATGGACAAAGTTTTTGCAGAACTAAACTTGGAGTGGTTGTAAAAAGTTACTACTGCCATCTCAAAATACTGGGCAACAATTGTAGTTTAAATTGTCCCTTTAATTGGCCAAATTTTAAATTTAGCTTATTCCTTTATTGAATTTTCCTTTTGTACTATACCCTCAATGATACCTTAACACACGTATTTCAAAGATATACTACATCAACATGGTGAAGTGGTGTAAATTCTAATAATGAAGAATAGTTATATTAGTTTTTAACTCAATTCCTTAAGAAAGACCCCCAATCAAGGGGCATTGAGGCCATTGACAGCCTCCGAAGACCTAGGTCCTCTTGAAGGACTCTCAATAAATTAGAGGGTAGGGGGGACACTAAGCATTTAGCAAAACTTGATGCTTTTGAATGCAAGTTCACGAAACAAAACTAGAAAGAGGCATGAATATCTAATACCTTCACTTAATCTTAAAGTCGAGTGCATGAACACTTTTTTCAATAAATTTTTGTGAATGAACTACCTCATAGCTTAAAGTCTGATGGTGAAAAAAATTGATGTTTGGCGTGTTTCACAATGTTCAATTTGGCTTTCAGTGGCTTATTATCCATTTTTGCACATGGACATTTTTGTTGTACAGGCTTTATCAAATGGAAAACCAACAGTTGTGGAGTTCTATGCGGATTGGTGTGAAGTATGTAGGGAACTAGCACCAGAGGTATACAAAGTTGAGCAACAGTACAGGTGAAATTTTTTCTTTGTTACTGTTTATCCTGAATCACCTTGATTGTTGCTCTGGTTTGTGAGTCGCTTTACTATATTTTAATGACCTTTCGTAATGAATTCTCTCAGGGATCGTGTTAACTTTGTGATGCTGAATGTTGACAACACCAAGTGGGAGCAGGAGATTGATGAATTTGGTGTTGAGGGCATCCCACATTTTGCATTCTTGGACAAGGATGGCAATGAGGAGGGGAATGTGGTCGGAAGGCTTCCTGGCCAATACTTGGTGGAAAATGTTGACGCTCTAGCACGTGGTAGAGAATCTATTCCTCATGCTCGTGTTGTTGGGCAGTATTCAAATGCAGAGGCTAGAAGGGTTCACCAAGTTGCTGATCCTAGAAGTCACGGATAAATTTTGCCATTATGAATATTATTGATATTGTACTATATCATTGTACATCCATGAGGTACTATTATACAAATATTGTAGATTATACATCCGCTAGTTCCATTAAATGTTTATATGGGATCTGTAAAAATTTGCATTTGCAAGATAGTTGTATTTTATTAACACTTCCTCTCTACAGAAGTAAACTTGGTTAAAAATGGTTGTATTAGTCTCCTCTTTCACATTCAAGGGCCCTTGGTTGTGAATGGCATCCTGTCATATGCTCAAGTTGCTTGAATTATTTGCAAAAGTTGAATGTATTCCAAATAACCATAGTTTCTTGCTGTTTATCGAGGCTCATACACAGCACAGTTATTCATATTCGCGAATGCCATTGGATGCTGCTGTAACTCATGAGCAACCCTATGTTTTATAGTTGTTTTATTAGAGAGTAATTGTTTACTTTCTTGTGGTGATCAGCCATAAAATTGTTCATCTTCTGGAGTAATGAACTGCTATCTGATTCGAGCTAAGGTGCAACATTCTTATAGCAGAGCATCCTGTTGCAAGTTTTTTAGAAAGGTGAAGTGTAAGTTCAGTCAAAGGGAAAGAAAGCTAAGGTTTACTTGGCAAAATTTGTTATAATTGGCTTCTTTTTGTGAATTCTAATGAGATTTCACTAACTAAATTATTCGAATTTGAACATCTACCAGTTCATTGTATAACATGGGTGATTGTAGTAGCAACTTCATTTCCTACCTAAGAGTCCCAGAAAAGGATATCTCTATGCTTAATTGTAGTTGAAAATTTTGCATATACCTACACCCGGGTATTAAAATTAGAGTAATTTTAAATTATACTAGTCTAGTTGATATTGGGTGAAGTTTGGGTTTGGACTTTTAGGTCAAGAGGAACTCTTTAGTTTTGATAAATAAGGTCATATTTTTTGTTATGGTCATGCATTATTATCATATTCATACAATCACACACCCAAATAGGACAAAGTGTATAAATGATCCAATAATATGTACGTATGACCACCCATTGACCCATTTGACGCAAGATACTCACCAAATACGAAGTATCATTTAGCTAAATTTCTAGCTCATCTAGTTCCCCAATAAAGCTCAAACTATCAAAATTGACCCTAGACTCATTGAGTCATATCCGCTCTACCCAAGTCATACAAGCATAATTGTATTGTAATTTTTCGTCATATATGCGCAATCATACGCCGGTATAAGTGGTGAGGACATTATCCAAAATTAAAAATTACGACCCAAAACAATAGATAGGACGGAGAATACTAGTTTTTCATGATAGCTTGCATGCACTATTGTGGGATATAGCTATATCCTCCTCTCAATTTCAAGTGTCCAACCTATTAGGAATTTTTTTTTTTTTTTCAAATGCCCAACCGGTTCACCAGAACTTAACTCCGACTATATCTGGATTCGACCCGGATAGCACACCTAGCTTATGGTGGACAAGGAGGAATCTAGAATGTATTTATAGACCGGGCCGAAGTTATAAATTATTTCAATTAATAAAGCCACAAAGGAATATATACGAGTTTAAGAAGTCCACAAAAAAAAAAAAAAAAAAAAGTGCAAACAAGGGAAATTGAACCCTTGACCTTCCAAATCTATACATCAAGTAACTAATCAACTTGACCAACTATAAAACTTACTACATATATACCCCTAGATCCGCCGGTGAGTCTCCTAACAAGAGTTTCTATATACGGTGAGGTTTAAACCTGATACCTTTCTTAAGGGACATCAAGTTGATTACCACTTAAGCCATCATATTAGTGTGTCCAACCTATTACGAGTATAATACAATGCACAACAGAGTAATTTAGGTTGTATCTCTCGAATCTCAATATAATATACCCGACTCAGGGCCCATACTTTCCTCATACAAAACCTATAAAATGAGCCTAAAATTGTTGTAGTAAAAAAAACCCCAAAGAGAGCCTCGTTGTTCTGCACTTGTATTAGTGCAGTGCTCTGTTAAATCAAGGAATGCTGCTGCATTTGCCGTACTTTTTCTTCGACGCTACCAGCCTACCACACTGCTCTTCGGTAACACTCTCTTCTCTCTTTCTCTCTCCTCTTACATTATTCTCTGTATTTATATTTGTTATTTATTCTCTGAAATTGCCCATTTATTTTCACGATGATGATTCAAATACCCTTTGAATTGATTTGTTCTCTGTGAATTGGGGACTATTTTTGGTTTTTCTGAAAACATGTTGTAATTTGGTTGCTTAATTCTTAATAATTCTGTACTTGTTTGGTTTTTGATACGAAATTTTTGTTGATTGGCATTTTATAAGTTGAATTTCCCTTCCGAAGAACATTGCATGCTATGTGTTCCGATTAAATGCTGGTTAAGTTGTAGCTTTCATAAAAAATGCTGGGTTGTTGATTTGATTGAATGTTGTACATGGGTTTTTTTTTATTTATTTTTTTTATTTGTTGCATTCACTATTTTTTTTTTCTATTATTGTTATTATTTTTCTAATGATTTAGGTTTGCTGAGAAGCTTAATGATGCCCTTTAATCTCAGTATTAGGTTTATCAGGGTTGTTTTTAGTAATTATAAGTGCTCTGAATCGACTGTTTTCGTTGTTTGGGGTTGAATAAAGGGAAAAATTTTATTGGGTTTTTTGCACTTGCTATAAGGGTATACTATTGTTTGCTTAATGAAAGTTTCTTTCAAGAGCAAAATTTGACAACCCGTGTTGTTGCTAATTTTCTGTTTGAGTAAACAAGATAGAAGAGTAATCAAAATGTGTGATTGAAATTTGAAAGGAAAGTTGTGTGTGTGTAAGTTCTTGATTGTTATAGAGTATTAGGTCGAAATTTAAATGTTCAAATTCATGATGAAGAATGATTGTCTTGTTTTGAATGAAAAGTTAGCCAGCCACTTGATTTGCATGCTTGTTTTTTGTGCTTGAGAGGTACGGAATTCTTTTGTCAATTAAGAGCGCTTAGAAAAGTATATTTTATATGTATAGTTATGTTGATTGAATTGCTGAATTTATGTCGAAGAAAATATACTTGGGATTTTAAGGATTCGAGGAATATGTGCAGGTCATATTGGTGTTTAGAGTTTAGCAAATCGATCACCATGTCGATGTCTAAAGGTTCGAAGATGGTCCAGTTTATCAATTACCGTATGCGTTTTACTATTCAGGATGAGCGTCAGCTTGTGGGAATATTCATGGGTTTTGATCATCACATGAACATTGTCATTGGTGATTGTGAGGAGTTTCGGAAACTGCCTTCACTAAGGGAAGCAAATCCAACAAAACAAACCTTAATGAGGAGACAGAGCGCCGTACCCTTGGCCTTGTCATCCTTAGGGGTGAAGAGTGGATTTCCACGGCTGTTGAAGGTTCTCCTCCTCCTGACAAGTCACGTACCAAGTCCATGAGTGCCAGTACCGTACCAGGTTCTGGTCTTGGCCAAGCCGCTGGACGGGGTATCCCAACTGCACCTCTTGTTCATGCTCAGCCTGGTCTGGCTGGTCCAGTTCGCGATGTTGGTGGTCCAGCTCCAGGCATGATGCAGCCTCAGATCTCTCGACCACCAGTCCCTGCTCCTCAGTCCTCAGCTCCTGGGATGACTTACCCAAATGCACCTGTAATGCGGCCACCTGGTCAGCAGATGCCAGGATTCCCACCTCAAAGTGGGCCACCACAGATGCCTCCGAGAGGCCCACCTCCCCCGTGGCAGTACCCTCCTGGTTCAAAGCCTGGTTTTGCTCCACCTGGGCATTTTCAAATGCCTCCTCCTCATTATGCCCAGCGTCCTGGCATGCCAGTATTACCTCCTCCAATGATGTGTGGCCCGCCACCTCCTTCTAGACCTGGCATGCCACCACCTCCTGGGGGACAGGTGCCAGTCTATGGCCCTCCTCGTCCAGGGATGCCACCACCTCCAAATTCTCAACAGCCACCTCAGAATCAGCAGCAGTAATTAGACAAATGCAATGCTTTGGGTATGTTTGCTGCTATTTGATTTTAATCTGCATATGTGCTTGAATCTGCAGCAGCAACTTTTTTCCATGTGCTTGCATGAATCATTGTCTTTATCTCTGACTAGTCAGGAATGTGCTATGAATTAACATAGCTTTGGATATAATTTACTTATTGTGCACTACCTTAGTTGCCCCTTCCCCTAATATCAATTCGAATGAAATAGGTTTGTGGAGTTAGTGCTCTGAGACTTTTATGAAGGTAACTGCTTTGTGACTCAAGAAATGACTTTTATGAGTACGATATGTCCTTTAAGACTATTCCATGATTTCCATACAGTCATATTGGCGTTCCCTAGTTGTTCAATACTCGATGGTACAAGATTGGAGTTTATTGGTTTTCGATGTTGTTTGCACTTGTAGACCTGACATTTATTCCATGATTACAAATGATTTGTTTTGAATTAAAAATCTTGTGTGAAGTTTGTGAATGATAGGCATTGACACTGGATACCTGCTTAGCCTTATTTGATTTTGGTGGAGTTGGTCATTTAAGAGGCAATAGTAATATATAGAAGGTCATTTTGGTATCTTTTATTGTCGTTCATTTGGTGAAGAATATGGTTTGTTCAATGAAACCTGGGGCAGGTAATTAGTTTTTACTTTATGAAGGCGTATTGATGTACTGATCTAGCCCTTTTTGTCTAGGATATGAAGTAGGTTTGATTTTAATTGCATTAAAAATATTAGTATGCTTTGTTGTTGTTGGGACTAAGGCTTTGTTGCTGCTGCTGTTGTTTGCTTTGGATGTTATCCTTTTTTAACTACTCAGGTAAATATTTATCCAATTTGTATTAGATCTTGACGTCGAAAGGTTTAATTCATTCCTCCTAGTTTCTCAAGCTCGATCTCTTGTTTTGACCCCTTTGTATGTCGAAAGGTTTAATTCATTTCTCCTAGTTACACGGCCTCACCATGTCAAATTAATGACCAGTTTTGGGTTCTCCATTCTCTTTGCCCCCAAAGTTATTATGTATTCTCATTTTCTGATGCATTTAGCCTAAGTCCCCTTTTGTTGGGTTGTTAAGCTACTTATATCAACTTTCAAGTAGGAAACTCCACTTGTTTTGCCTTAGAAAGAAAAAGTCGCGGTTATTATCCAAATTATGTCATTAAATTTTGAAATTGGAAAGTCCATGACAGAGAATTAATACAATTGTAAAAATGTGTAACATTTTTTTTCTGGTGTCTGATTCTTCATAATTAGATTTTTTACATTTGTCTCGTCTGGCAGGTATTCTAGGACGGTGA